AGGTGGCCGCCGTTTGACCGTTTGGCCGTTGTGCCACGAGCCGACGGCTACGGGGAAATCGCCACAATTATTCAAACTTCTCTTTGCTCTCTTGGTCCAAACTCTGAGAGTCGAGCGATGTGGCAAGAGTTTAACTGAGGGTTCGGCTTTACATAATCTGACAAATTAAGGAAGATTGAGTGTCACTCTCGCGTTCTCAATCTCACTCTCGTTTAGAGCCAGGGGCAGATCCATGTTCTCTGAGAATTCCTGAGAGTCTACTACTGTTAATACAATGATAATAGTAATAATAGTACTGATTGTGGTGGTGGTGGTGGTGGTGGTGGTGGCAGTAGTAATAGTAATAGTAGTAGTAGTAGTAGTAGCTACCAGTAGCAGTAGTAGCAGTACCAGGAATAGTGCTAGTAATAGTAATAATTAATAACTATTGAGGATACTTACTATCTCCGTGATCTCTTCGTACCCTTTCCTTGTGACGTCGAGTTGACCGTCCCCGCTCCCATTACACCCGCCGCTGTTAATTCGCTGCTCGAGGGTTTCGTTTCGCCGACTCCAGTGCCAGCAGCCCCGACGTTGACGCCGACACCCACGTTCACCCCAACGCCAACGCCGACTCCAGTGCCAGCAGCTCCGCCGCCACCGCCGCCACCGCCGCCTCCACCAGCACTGCTGTCTGGTGGATCTTTCCTCTTTTCTAAAGAGATGTATTCTGCTCATTATTAATACTGATCTTGAAAGGACTTAATTAAATTGAACATCGAAAATAAAAGAAGCGTGGCGAGAGGACAACACGGACTCATTCTGATGCAGCATCTGCCAAGCGAGTATACACGCTTATATGCGTGTCGAACCTACATGCGACCTTCTCATCGAGGTTTTTCGGCAGTTCGCTTAGTTGCGGAAGGTCTGAAATACGCGAGAGCAAAGAGACCAATTACGAGGAGGAAGTGTATAAGTCAGGCACGATCCGAATTCAGGTTACGTTTCCTTAAATATGTGCCCCCCACGTCCATGAGAATTCCCCGCGCACGAGCAAACGGATAGATAGCTGCATTGGCGGGCATCACAGCGTTCGCAGGAAGCCGCAGCGAGCAGCGAGCTAGCTGTGTTCCAGTAAGAATGCTAAGGGGTCTGAGGGAAGAGGGGGTGCGCGCCGCCATATCCAGCGCCGGAGAAGCAAGAGAATGCTGCAGATGCCGATGGCCAAACATGGTCAAGGCTCAACTGCAGAACAAACTGCTTTGGTAAAGGACACGGCCTGAGCAGTCTAAGCGGCCCAAGCGGCCCAAGCGACCCAAGCGGCGCGCTCGTCATCGGAAAACTTTGCGCTCCCGTGGCTCTATCGCTTTATGGTACTCTTTGGCGCGGGGCAGAATGCCAACAAGATCTGAGCTAATTCTCCTCGAAGAATGCTCAAAGAGACAGAGGAGTCGTTCGTGCACAACGAGCCGATCGACTAATCAATCAATTATTCATGTAATCGTGGTTGACCGATTCCCTTATGCGGTTTTTGTACGATAGAATGCTTTACACGTTTGTTCCCCCTTATCTTAGTGCAAACGAGTGATATAACGAACTCATGCCTTCGCGATTCCTGTCTCGGCAGCTTAAGAGAAAGGGAAAGGAGTTCGCGGTTGCGGCAGCGTCGACGCGCGGAATGAAAGAACCACGCGGAGTCCTGGTGTCCTCTTCTCCCGCGTTTATCACCGACTTCAACTTACTGGCATTCGTGACGGGTAGCCTCTCTATCTTGATCGAGCCGTCCGTGTCTGGTGTGGCTGCCAATCCGGGATACGAACCTTGTGGTTGCGTCACGGTCACCGTAGCAGGATGAGGACTCGTCTTCAAACGGAAACAAAAGCAATTCTTCTCATCGATTCCTCCTATTATGATGATTTATATCGCAGTGACGTCACGTCAGCGATTGCGATAATTCGACTGACTTACCAGATGGTCGAGCTGTGGAGGTGAGGTGTGAGAGTAGAGGGAGCCGTGAGGGCCAACAGGACCAAGGTGAAGCCCGAGTTGGCTCTCCGCGTGATTCCTTAAGACGTTTATGGCATCGTCCAGTCGTTCCTCCATCCGCGTTCCCTGTACCAACAGAATACCGGAAAACCGACTCGATTACACACTTTAATTCCCCTGCGAGGTTGCAGCTACTGTGTTATTGCTGGTGGCTCCGTCTTCGCGTCAAATGTTTCCATGTGCATCCTGTCATCATCCGTGCGTACGTTTCTCGTGTTATCGAGCGGTCATCGATCTGCGGCGATGCGCACCGCCAAGCGGCACTTGCATCCCCCCAGAACTCGAACCTCACGAGAGACAGGAAGCGAACGTATCAGACGCACAGAGAGACGGGCAGAGCGAGGGAGAAAGGCTCACGCAAGAGGCGGATGATAACGAGTGGTACAGAGGAAGAGGAAGAGGAGGAGGAGTGAAAGGGACAGGGAGAAGAAAGTGCGAAATTGACGTGGGCCTTTCTATCGTCTGACTATCGAGGAGACGCGAACGAAGAGTAATCAGCAATTAGAAGCGATATGTGCGGAGCCACGTGGAAATGAGAGGAGTTCAAGTATGAGACAAAAAGAAGGAGCTCTGGGCTCGGGTTCAGACTTAGAGAGTGAGAGAGTGAAAAAATGAGAGAAAGAGAGAGAGAGAGAATAAGATAGACAGAGAATGGGGAGAGTGTCCTCACCTCGGCGTGGTCGCGAAGGAAGCCGATTGCATCGTCTAGCCTCTGCTGTTCAGGCGCCGGCTTCACACACAACACCAACGCAACAACAAAACCAAAACAACCAAGTCAACACAACGTTCACGACAAACAAGAAGGGTGATAAATTAAACGAAAGAGAGAAGAAAAAAATGGGATGGAGCGAGAGAAGGGGAGGGAAGTCTAAACGAATTAATAAGATAGTTAGATAATCAGATGAAACAATAACGATCTGTAATTAATTCTTGTGCACGCGATCATGCTCTCCGCGTCTGCGAACTGCGTCTCCGCCTTCCTTTCGGTTTCGAGGAGCCGTCGGTGCACGAGAATTCGAAGCTACGCGACATGCATCCTCCCCTTTCCTCCTCATCATCGTCGCCATGTGAATTCAGGAGAGATTGAGAGAGACAGAGAAGCGGGGCGGCAGAGGGGAGGGAGCGCGAGAGGAGACGCGTCAAAGGGGGATGGAGAGAGAAATCGTGCAAAGGGCGAAACAAATGAATTCTCCATTCATTATATTTTCTCTTCCTTCCTCCTGTCATCTTCTTCCTTCTTCCCTCCACTCGTTTCGTTCTTCGATCGTCTCTCGCACTCTGTCCCGTAGTCATTCGTTCCCCGTCTCCATCGGATGGATTTACTTTCCCGACGTTCAAAACCAAAAAGAAGGCAGGAAGATCCACGTAAAATGAGGATAACGAATACTGTTTGCAAGAGCCATAGGCACGTTCGAGAGGCGCGGCAAGAGCCAGAGGCGGAGGCGGAGGCGGAGGCGGAGGTACAAGTGGGAACAGAGGCAAAGATGTAGTAGATATAGATATAGAGAAGTGGTCGTTGCCATCGAAAATCATCGTGATAAGAAAATCTATGTCAATGCGTACCATGTGTATGGTTCCAGGGCGATTGGGATCGGCGGTAAAGTGTGGGGAGACAGGTGCTGCTCCGGGAGCCCAGCCGCCCGGAGCCGACCCCGTCAGGGGTGGTGGTGAACTCACCGGCGTCGATGGGTTACTGCTATAACTCGATACCGATTGGTCCGTGGGATAGATCTGCCAAGAAGAAGCTTCAATTAGTCGTAATTCAGCCGCGAGAAATAATAACCGAGAAACAGCCGGAATAATTATGGTAGGAAGAATGCGAGACGTCAATTTCGCACACGTACTCGACTGCTTACTACTGATGCGAGGGTCTTGCCGAGAGTGTCCGACGTCGGCTGCTGAGCTTGATTGTTGCTCGGGGCATTGGGACCAGAAGGTGCTGGCTGTGACGGGGCTCCAGGACTGTGACTATACTGCAGAGAGGCTGGAGAGGGCGCCCCGGTCGCACTGGTGGCGGCAGCGGCCGCGGCTGCCGCCGCGACGCCCGCGCTTCCTCGGAACGTTGACATCGGGGGTAGAGACGCCGCGCTCGTAACCGCGGAGCCGAGGATCGGCGCTGCGGGTTCTCCGTTCGGCGACATGGCCGAATACGCCTGAAAGCACAGCCAGACATAGGCGTCAACGGTCTCGGCGTGAACGGGTGAGCAAGAGGCACGAGGGGCGGGAGTGTGGATCATCTTTGATATCGGATATGCTTAGTGCTTAGCGGAACACCGCGCGCTCTCGCACCTACTCAAACCGCTCATAAAATCCATCTAATTTTAAGCGCCGCGAGAGCAAGTATATTTATCAACAAATTAGAGAACTCAAACAAGTTCTAAGTAGCTCGAGCAGTTTCGCTATCTCGCTATGAGAACGAAGCAGGAAAGGGAGTCTATTGGCGAGACGGGCTGCAGAGTACAGGGAGGAACACAGGACCTGGAGCAAAGAATAAAGAGTAGCCGATGCCGAGGAGGAGGAGGAGGAGCAGGAGGAGCAGGAGGAGCAGGAGGAATTTACGAGCGAACAGGAGAATTCGCCAGGCTCAGCGTCAGTGGCAGCGGTAGCGGTAGCGTCAGCGCCAACGCCACCGTGCGCCCGCGCTACGACATAATGTATGAGAGGAAACTTTTTAAGAGTCATAGTAAAGAGCCAAACTTCTGGGAAAATGGCCCACTAAGCGGAGGGCGAGCACTCGTAAATGTTTAACCTTTAATCCAAAAAAGAAGTTAGTGCTCGCTCGCTCCCTCCGATCTACTGCGTCTGCGCCAAAGTTCGAAGTGCCAATTTCTTCTTTGTCGAATTTAAACTATATATATATATTTTTAAGAGCTGCGCGGATTCGTCAAGAAGCCAAATCGGAGCTGCCAAGTGCGCGCGTTCGTTCGGAGCTACGGGCAGGTAAGCAAGTAAGCAAGCAAGCAAGAAGCAAGTAGGCAAGTAGCAAGGGAGGCAAGGTAGGTAGTAGGCTGATGTCGCTCTATATATAGGCCTCGTGACTCATTTTACGCCTATACTCTCGCAGAGCCCAGTGAGTTTTGTCAACAGTGCTTCTCAACGCGTCAACTTGTAGGCATACGCACCATGGGATCGTGGGGTAGGTGCATTGGGTAGGCAGGCTGCGCCAGATGAGGTGGTGCGTATCCACTGTACGGTGGCTGAACTCCGCCTCCTCCGGCCGTCCAAGGGTCCCCCGGACCCGTCGCTGCCGTTGCGCTTCCATCTGCAAAGAATCGAACGCCGAGCAGCCATTATTTCACTTGAAAAGAACGGCAATAACGTGCCTCGATGTTGTTTCTTGATACTTTGTTCGATATGATTTTACGGCGCGCGACTCTGCAGCTCGTCGGAAACTCAAACTAACAATAAGAGAAACAAGCTGGCGACGTATCCGTCGGGTTCGAGGAAACTTAATCTTCCTTCTGCGCACCCGACTTTTCCAGTAATAAAGCAAAACGCTGATGCCAGAGAGAGAAAGAGAAAGAGACAGAGAAAATTGCGTCTTCTCCAATCAAAGTGCGCGCCATCGGCCGAACGGATTGTCAATTTTCCAAAGTCGCTGTCTCCATATACTCGATTGAAAGGGCCCTTGCGCTTACCGATATAGTAGGGATCTGCGTAGAGGGCGGCGGCCTTCGGCGAGGTGTACCTTGGAGAATCCTGACCAAACTCATCCGAGCCGTACTGCAACAAAGAAATTGGAAGGTTAAGTCGTTGCTAAGTGGAATAGTGCTTCTAAGTGTGCGCGCGCGCGCGCGTGCGTGTTATAAATTTATCTGTCTCTGACGTGTCACTTGTTATCGTAGACATTGCGAGCAGAAAGTTCACTGAACCACTGAGAGCGGGTGCCAATTGGATCATCGGATCGACAATCGATTCTTCCTTCTCGGTTCAGCGGAGTAAGCCTTCGATTGGCGAGCCATATGATATAATAAACTGATAGATAAGATTAAACGGTATCATGCCGAACAAAGTACCATTCTACACGTGCTCCCATAATCGGTGGGACTGAGGAACATCTTGCAGTTTCACTAGGCCTGCTCGAGGATGCCGCTGCGCTGTCGCTCATAAGACAAGAAGCTTCGATTGGCGGGAGAGCAAAGGCGAGAGGCGCCCTCACAGCCTCCTTCTTCTCCGAACTTTTATCACACTCCCGATGTAGGATAAAATATTCGAGGATGGTCCGACGTTTCTTAGCGCACCCACGCCCTCATACTCCCGCCGGTAAAGTTTAGCTCGACGGGGACTCGTGGCCCGAAAGCAAACTTGAAGGCTAATGCGAAAACGATAGCAGAGTCGGCTAAGGAACGGGAAAAGATTGGAAGGATGTTCTGAGCTGAAATTTAAGGCTCGCCAACGCCTATGAAAGAATCCCAGGAAACGCGAAAAGTTTTGGCTTCGCGGCAGACATCGCGAGCGATTACTCTCGAGGGACCAGAGGGAGGATAGTAACTGGTGGCACTGGTGCACTGGATCACTGGATCACTCGATCACTCGATCACTCGATCACTGGATCGGAAGGTCCAGCAGGCGTTCGCGGTACAATTTTAAAAAAGTGCGCGGGGTGCCTTGCTGGTTCGGCGGAAGAAGCAGAACTGTCGGAAGGCAAGGAATACAGATCAGGAAGGTTAACGCGCGTTTGACGTGTACACCTACGTAAAAATGTTAAGCGACTGAGTTTCCGCGGACAACTAGCGCTGTTCTTCCACGTTGCCCGAGGTGGGAGTTTGTGCCTCCGCGGCCAATGAGCTTGCGAGGCTTTCCCCACCACCCAGGCACGTGAACGTGAAGGGAAGTTTGATATCGTAACGCGTAATAAGCGTTACGATTGAACGACGAGTCGCCCGTTTTTAGCGACTGACAGCCAGCGCCATTGAAAGACAAACCGTTTCCTCGTATTTGTCCAGAAATTACGGGAGGAATTCACTTGGGAATCAGCTGTGCGTGTCACATGAGATCGCGGGCATTGGCGGATGAGAGGGAGAAAATTACGAAGCCAAGGAATATGATGACACATCGAGATGAATTCGAGTCTGCGACACGTAGACGCAGGACGGACACATTTATCACGTGTCAGATAGTTTCGAACGCTACTGAAGCATGTCCATAAAGTTATTGTATAAATTTTACTCGATGTGTGCTACGTTATGCCATAAGTTATCAATTTAATTTTTTGATATTTATTTTTCTTTTGTAAACAAAAAACATTTTAACGATAAAAATTGAAGCTATTATTTTTTGTGATTCCCGAATGAATCAGTGGGGGTAATTTGATTAACCTGAAAGAGTTGCTCTTATAATAATACAGAAATAAGCCATTGGGGGTATCGGTGAACGTTAGGAGATCAATTTTTTTTAATACGTATTGTCGTATTCGGTCTACCGTGGCTTTCATGCTTCTCCGTACCTCTATTGAGTTGAAATCCAGCAAAGACCGATCCACTTAAAACTTAATGTACCATTTTGTTACTAGTTTTGTTCTTCTGATACCAAGTAAAAAAAAAAAAAAACCTGAAAAACCTAAACCTTAAGTCATCTGGCATTGGAATTCTGACGCTGTCTTAACTTAGCGTAATCATTTCCAAATCCGTCACAGCTTCGCCTGCTTAGCATTGGGAAACTTAGAAATTCGGTGTGAACGCCGCTTTACAATGCACCAAATATGCGTTAAATATGAATTGTCAAACTTTTGCAATGTTGGACTTAGTAGTGGTTATGCCAAGTTAAGACAGCTTTAAAACTCCACTGCCAGATGACTCAAGGTTGGTTCCACGTGCTTTTTTTTTGACAGATCGAAAACAATGTCTCTCTTTTGCAAGGCACACGTGTAACTGCATAAAATTTTACTAACAATGTATGCACATACACTACATAAATCTTACTTTTATTTATATTTTAGCACATAGCTACGACCTGTGAAAGAAACAAATTGAACTCGTGGACCGACTGCAGTTTTCCGCCCATTTCCAAGCTATCCAAGTACTTACTAGTGTGATAATGAAGAATAATTTTCTGAAAGATTTTTTTCCTAAAGGAAAATCAAGATATAGCCCACCAAAGAATTAAATGAGTGCATACAATTGTATAGTGGATTGTCTTCGAAGAAAGATTTACACGAATACTTATGAAAAAGCAGCAAAATAATATTGTTCCATGAAATAAGGATAAAATGATGAACTTGGCCAGCAAGAACCTCGTCTCATTGTTCTCGTCGCTCGATGCAGTGTGCCCACGTGGGTCTAATCCGTCTAGTCACTAGGCGAAGCCAACGGCGTCCTTGCGAAGTCCTTCTAGCGCGCAAATATAACCAATCCTACACAATGTCGAAAAAAAACAACCGCCGAGCAGCATCGTAGATTTATGACGTTAGAGCTTATAAATTCTTACGTAAATAAGAAATGGCGTGGCTAATTTGTACTTAAAAACTTCTTTGGCTTATAGAATTAAAAATGTTGAATATAATTTTTAATTCTTTACGGCACAAAGTAGCAGCACACATGGAGCGCAATTCGCGGCACAATGTTTGTTTTTGAAATTAATAAAAATGGCAGGGCTAAATATTCTAAAAACATTTTATCTCCATATAATAATAAATAAAAAGAATAACAAATCTTTATTCAGCACAGTAGTAATTTTGTATTTTTCCTAAATAAAATAGGGCTAGCTTTATGCACATTATTGAAGCCCGTAGCGTGAATAAAGTCTGCGAAAATGAACGTACTTCTAAATAAGAGAAAAGAGAAAAGAGAAAAGAGCGGGCAGTGGCCGAAGATCGAGGTCGGGACTGCATGTAGAGATGGGCGAGCACGTGAACACGGGAACGAGAAGAGTCTGATAAGAGAGCGGCCTCTGGACCTATTCATTTAAACATGTTGCTTCGACTGACACTCGAGCTGCCGGAGAGGTTTGACAGCTCGCGAGATATTCAACATTTTTGCCGAAATGTCAAAGCGAGCGTCAGTGAAGAGGACGAACCCTGCCGGCTCGTCGAGCCGATAACGATTGGCGATTGGCGATTGGCGACTGGAAGGGAAATCGAAACGCACATCGTAATAATCCAGTGGCGCTTCGATCGGCACGACGACGATCAAATGATTCGAGGTGCCACCGCGTGGGCAGTATTTCAATTTTTATTTCCTTTTCCGAGGGTTGTAGATGTACAATAATAAAAATGTCTGTCGCGGCAAGGAATCGGAAATCTTAATATGTCCGGTGTGTCCGCGTGGCCGAGTCAGCGGTTTCCGTCCAATATAAATGTCCTAGATTGATTTAGTCGGGTGTCCTTGCAGCCACCCTTCGACTTCATCCTCAGGAATACGAAATATTCCGAGGTAGCCGCGAGAATTCAGCAGCTCCGCCGGACATCTCAATATCTTGAGGGTGAGTCGCGCCGTGGAGGCGAAATTACCGGAAAGTAGACGTGCTCTGCACGAGGTCCCCAGAAGTTCTGGTCAACGCCAAGTCCTTCTCGTGTTATCCTGCTTCCCGTAGGAGGATCCCAAGCACTTTCGAAATTCAGCACTCAATTTTTGACTTTCATCGATTCTCTCGGCAGCGTGGTGGCTCTGGCAAGGTTTCCAAGGTTTCCAAGGTTCACACGACAGCGGCAGCTGTCCGAGAGTCATGCGGGCCGACGAGCGGCAATTGTGTCTCTGGAGTAGAAGCATTTTTTCAGACTACCTGTTGCTACACTCTGTCAAGTCGCTTCGATAAGGGAATAGCCCTACAAGGTGCGCATTCTAAGACGATGAATTGCTCGCGCAGCAATCGAATCAACTCGAGGAACTTCTTTGTCTCGTTTAGCTCGGTCAGCCACCATCGACCCGCGGAGCAAACGGTTGGTCGGAATCGCCAAGATATTTTTACACCGAGTGACGTCACATCCCTCTCAGAATTAACGTATTATGCCGCGCGTCTACGTGGAGAGAAAATCGTGCGATTCTCGACTTGGCCACGAGGCGCTACCCCCCCCCCTCTCTCTCTCTCTCTCTCTCTCTCTCTCTCTCTCTCTCTCGCTCGCTCCCTCTCCGTTTCATATATTCCACTCGATTCTTACTCAGGATCAAGCGGCCACCCGACTAATCGACGTTCAACCGGCCACATTCATCTTTGTTCTCTTTCTCTCTCGCCATGTGTCATAGGGGCACCGATGCATTCCCATGGCGGAGAGAGGCGAATAACCGTAAAGGAAATACCCGTAGATGGAGGAGCCATGTTCTAGCCTCCGCCACTTCCGGTTGCGCCATTCCAACAAACGCTCGGAACATAAATTAAGATACTTTAACGATCTTCCTAGAGGGCTCGAGGCGCACCTGAGAGGCAGCCCGAAGAGAGGAGAGAGGAGAGAGGAGAGAGAAGAGAGAGAGCAGCGCGGAAAGAGGATGATGGAGTGGAGCCGTAGGGGTCGGAGGTCAGAGGCTGCTGCCTCGCAGCGCACAGCGCTCGTTTTTTAAAATCCGAAGACTGAACACCGTGCCCGCCCGCTGCTTCTCGAATTATCAAAACATTGGTGTAGCGACGTTTGCAAAATACGAGGTGCTGCTTTGTAAATCGTAGCACTAATATTTGAGACTTCGAGTCGACGTTATTCTATCCGCAAGCGGATCGCGCGGCTGAGACTTGAGATGTTTTAGTTGAAGCTTCGACTGGCCGACTGGCGGCAGTCGGGTGGGAGAAGAACTCTG